GGGGGGGGGGGGGGGGTCTGAGCTCCCTAGGGATCCAGCACAGCCCCTACACAGCCCTCTTCATATCACCCTGTGACACTGTTCCCTGCTTTCTCTTTAGGCTTCTGACTCCAGGATGCCTCCAGCTTCAATCTGGCCTAATCTCGCTCTACAACACAATTTGCCCTTGCTTTTGTGCTAAGCTTGTTTTAAATCGCATTTTATGTAATTGTTAAAGAAACACAGACTTAATACCAGACACTTGAAAAACAAAAGCAGAAAGGTAAAAAAAAAAAAAAAACACACACTCAAATCTCCACCAACTGCTGTTAATACCGAGTCTCTCCTTGCAGGCTTTAATTAACATTTGCTCAGCTGTGGAGCTATTTAATTCTTTCCTTCACACGTGGATCATACTTGCACCTCTCGCTTCCAAGGCAATTTTCTCATAATGATGAACCTTTTTTTTTATGTCAGATAATGTCCTTCATAGTTTTGAAAGTCCTCCACTGTATGCAAACACGAAATGGGCTCCTTGGAATCAGAAGCTGATGCAGTTAAAAGCAGGGTCTTCCCAGGTTGGGTAGTTATTTCCAGTTCTTCACTATTACAAACAACACAGTGGTAACCACCTTTGAACATGCACATCTGTACTCTGCTCTGATGATTGTTGTATGGTAAATTTCTCAGGGCAGAATCGCCAGGTTAAATTTTGGTGTTCTTAACTCGGGATCTCAATTGCCCTCAAGAAACGCTGTCCTAGTTTACTCTCCCACCAGCAGGATATGAGAGTTCCTATTTCTCCACACCCTAGAAAAGAATAACAATATGCATTTGATATCAGCATCCTTTTTTTTTAGCCTTTGCCAATTCATCTGGAAAACACACACACACAATTTTAATTTGCATGGCATGTCTTTGATTACCAGTGAGACTGGACATTTCTCCATGTGTTTGTTTTTCTATTTATATTTCTTTTTGTGTGTGTATGCATTGCCTGTTCATGCCATTTGCCCAAATTTCAAAAAAGGTGGGTTCTTTTCTTACGATGTCTAGTGCTCTTATAGACAATGGATTAAAAACCATTTGTCTTTTTTATATCCGAGCTGCAAATATTTCTACCAGTTTCTTATGCACAGATTACTTTTGTGATTTAAAAAAAATTTTGCCTCTGTAATTTTTCTCTCTGATGTTACAATAAGCTTCTTTAAATATTCTTCCTAGAATCACCCTCCAAATCACACACAGTTTACAAGCAGAGATGGATGAGGGCTCTAGAGGAGATGCTGTGCGTGATACAAGAGAAAAGACCTCAGCTTGTGCCTGAAGTCTGGAAGAAGCACCCAGAAGCCAAATTAAGCCAGAGCATGACTCCCAAGAGCCTTACAAGCATCCCCTCATCACCTCCAGCCCTAGGGGCTGAGTTCAATCAGGTGCAAAGAAAGTTCAGCTATGCCCTGCCCACCAGCACAGGGAAAAAGATGCAAGTTCACTGTCACTGTGGAATCACTCAGCCAGACTAGGGTGAGAGGCGGCTGCTCAGAGGAATCAAGCGACCTAGGACCACCGAGCCAGTAAATAGGGGTCCAGGACAAGAACCCAGGTCTCCTGGCTCCTGGCCCACTGCTGCAGAGGAAAGGCCCCACATCACTGGAAGGAACAGCTGGCCCCAGACTACAGCTTAGAATCTGGATCTGTCCTACTAGGACAGAACTCACAGGGATCTGGAAGAATTACTGGGGCGTCACTTCCTCAGGCCTTTCGGGTACGGGAAAGGCCTCAGTAGCTGCATCTTCTGACCCTTCTCGGAGGCAGGTGCTAAGCCTGCATCCACATCTGTAAAGTCAGTCCAGCTGTTCCCCATTCCCTCCTCGGAGCTCAGCACCCCCCGCTTCCCCACCCCAGGGGGAACCTCTGGTTGGTATCTCTCTTCCATAGGCACCTTACACCAGCAAAAGCTCTTCCCAAACAACTGGTCACACAAAAGAAAGCTCAGAGGCTGAACATCAAAAGACAGGGCTCCCCCCCGCCCCCGCCCTGTCCCCCTCTTCTTGGAGCTGTCAGGGGACATCAGTGGCGATTGCCCACGCTCAGCCTTCTGCAAAGTATTTTACGGCTTGTTTTCTTTTCTCTTTGTTTTATTTTCTCTGCACAAATGGAAAAATGCATCAGGGAAAGCAGCTCACATCTGGATCCCCTGGCTCCACACAGAGTGTCGCCCAGCTCTCAGCCTGTCCCCTGCCCCTTCCTTGGAAAGACACCTTAATCCCTCACGCCTTCCTGTTTA